CCCTCGGAGCCTGACCTGCTCGCCCTCCTGCTTACTGAGTCAATAAGAAAATCCTTTGGCTCTGCATGACTTGCTTAGACCTCAGACCTTCCATGCAGAATAAGGTCTAGCCAAGGAGGCAAAAACAAGGTGCCACTCCAGCTGGTAAAACAAAGATATTTTTAAAGTGCAGTCAGGAGAAACAGGCACTCCTATCCCATGTATAATCAAGGATGAAAAGGCCACGAAAAATACCACTGCGCTTTGCAAATGAGAGGTCAATTGAAATGTCAAGATATCAAATGTTAATGGATTGCATTTCCAATGATGGTTGGGACAGAAAACCATACCAAGTCAAGTCAGATGCCCTTCAGAGGAGAAGATGAATTTTATGGCAGGAAAAGACAATAAACACCAGAAATCTTGCTGGTTAACAAACTTGTGGCTGATGGAAAACAAATATATTTTGCAGCAGGATTTTAACACAAGCTATAATCTCAAAACATGTATCTGGAAGTCATTAAAACTACAGCAAATTTAAGCATATGCAGGTGTTTGGGGAAAATGCCATTACTTTCTACTGAAGATTTTAAAAGGGACTATAAAAGAAAGGAGTATAAAGGACACTCAAGGAAGGCAATGTTTTCTTCCCTGAAGCAAGAAGTTGCTTCCAATATTTTCACAGTTCTACAGAATTTCATGGACTACATAACTACACTCTTAAGAGCATTCATTTTCCTTTTAAAAATTCTAATTTCTTTCTTACAAAACCCTTGCATTTTATAGTGTTGGATGACATCAAGTTTTAGCCAAACCATTCTTTCACCTGCCCACATCTTCCCAAGGAATCCATCTGGCCATTTTTACAAACTGTAATCTCATTTTAGACATTTGTTTAGAGTGACATTATATTCAGTCCATAGTCAGAAGGGCTTTGCCATGCAAATAACTCATCTCTTTGTATGAAGACCTGAAAAGAACATGATAATCTTCCTAACGCTGTTTCTGCCCAACACAGCAGACATAGAGTCTTCCTATCAATAGCAGGGAGACTTGCCTTGTGTCTGTATAGTTCACTGGTGGGCTAATCCACATTATTAGTGGATCTGGAAGATTCCTTGGTCTATGCAACAGAGGATGTAATATCAAGAATAAAGAAAAGTGACTCATAATTTTCTCTTTTCTGAAAGAATAACTACTTGAGTGGATTCCAGTGAAAATATGAGGAAAAGGGTTTAAAACAAACAAAAAGATTGGTTTTCCCCACACTATGGTGCTCAATGTCACACAACATTGTGGTGACAGGAGGTATAAACTGACTTCACGAAAGACTGCATGGAAAGCCTCCTAAACACAGGATGTGTGTTTCTGGAAGTGCAAAATGCTGTGTGCAGGAAGGTGGGAGGATACTCTCCATGGAGGAGGTCTCTGTAATTGCTGTTCTTTGCCCCCCACCTTCTGCTGCTGGCAGAGGCAAAGCCCTGGGCTGGCTGACCTCCAGTCCACGTTAGTGTCGAGGCTGCCAAGCCAAGTGCATCTGTACTTGAGAGGGGGGACTACCCTGGATTTGGGGGGATCCTGCAGCTCAGCCCGCCTCAGGACAAATGATGTGATCCAAGTCAACACGAACATAATTCCTCTAAATTTTATGCTGATGTGAGCTCCCATTGTCCACACAAGTTCAGAAAGAAATCCGTGTTTCAGAACAAAGCTATAGTGGGGTTTTAATTATATCACTGTTTTTCCCCTCTTGCAGCAAATAACAGGGTATATAAAAGATCAGTTCCTCTGGATCTGCCCTATTTCAAAACCATCTCTCATGTAACAAATCTTTAGAAATCAGAAACCCTCCACAGAGAGAAATTGTTTAAGTCATGTTACCTCTTTCGGATGCAGGGATAGGAACAGCTTGATAAGGACCAGCAAGTAGATAAGCATGTAGGACTTCACATCCAGGAATCCCTTTTGTACCACAGACTCTCAGTGTAAACATGGATAAAATCAATGGAAGAAAGCAAGTGCTCCTTACATGACAAGGCCAGGAGAGCATGAATCAGTTATATGTAATGGATTGAGCAGATATGGGGCCCACCTTGGTGTCATACACCCTCAAAAAAGGGTCTTTTGCTTTTGGGGGAAAAAAAAAATCAGTTCTGCAGATACAGAGATTTCTTAGCTATTTTCTGAGTGCTTATTTATAGTAATATTATGTAAGATGATGCTACCAATACATAAAGATGAGTTCTGAGGATGCCTTGTACCTTCCAGTACTACAAGCACCACGGAACTGAAGCCAAGCCTCCTTTCTGAAGCAGCCAAGTGCCACTGCACCTACTTGGGCCATCAGGAAGCTCCCAAGATAGTCCGAGCACCAACATACCCTTGGGCATTGAGAAACCAGCTGCTTGGCTGCCTTACTGAACTGCAAAAAGAAAACTTCCTTGTTTTTCCCCCTTCCCTTGTATTTCCGCCTTATTTAATGCTGTAGGGATTCTAGAGAACATAAAAGAACAGTGAAATTCCTACCAAATATTACACCAGCAACATTAATGAACTGAGCAATGAAAAGTAAATAGACCATTTCTATAGAAATCTTCATCGTGCTCCTAAACTAATACATTAAATGGTGGCACTATTGGCTCTGTCCAAGGACTTTATATAACCTACAGTCTTTAAAAGGAAGTGATTTTTACTTCAGTTTTGGAACACAAGAACTATGTCAGCATAAGGTAAAAACAAGGAAATTTTTTATGCTAATGACAACTGCGAATATTTTATATATATATTTATATATGTAAAAAAATATATATATTATAGCAGATGTCAAATGCAGTTAGATTCAACTCTACTTATTAGTGCATGGCTTTTAGCCAAAAGCAATTCACATTTGCAGAAGTGTACTCTCACATATGTCTTAATAATAAAAATGTGTTTTTAAAAATGTATGTGATAAGTCACATATGGTAGAAGGAATCTGTACAGCTTTCAGCCCTTATGACAATGGAAGCTACTAACTTTATTTTGCATAGCTGAAGAACATTAAAATTCAAGTGAAATTCTCCTTGACATTTGAGAGCTACAAAAGCAGCAACCAAAAGCTGGCCAAGCCTGGGCTGTACTAAGCGTGGCTCTGACACTTATATAAATGCAATCCATGGCTACTACTGCTATCTTAAAGACACTTTTCTTTCTTTTACTCAGAGAGCTTTAGCATACACTCATACTTGTACACAGGTACCTTAAATGGTTATGTCACTGAACAAAACTAGGCAGATTTTTCAGCTGTTTTGTTATGCACAGTGTAATTAATGTGTATAATGGATCCCCTAGGGTACTAATTGAAGCTGCCACCATGAGCATAGTCAAGGAGAAGTTAAACAACCAGTTGGGGGCAACATGCAGGGTGAAATACACACATGTAAGGGGAAAGAGTGAGACTGTCCATCTGACCTTCTTTCATCTCAAAATGTTACCCTTACTCAAGTCCTATAAAAAACAACCTAAATCACCCTTTCCCCCCAACTCCCAAATCTTCCTGGTGGATTTACTTGGCTTCAGTGGCACATACATTCTATTTAATAACTGCAGTGCTCAATGCCTCTGTTATAAGTGGGAAGATACACTTCGGTTGAGTCATTCTTGAGAATTTGACTCAAAATGTATTAAAAAAGTGTATGATTGATAAATGATTATTTTGGAACTGTTCCCCAGGAATTTCATCACCTTGCAACTCCTGGATCCTGTATAATGTGAGGTGAAAACGCAGCTCATTTCACTCTCTATTAAACAACCCCCAGCTAACAATGACTTTAATTCAGCTTGCACTGAATTTGAACTAGCCCTATAGGCAAGAAAGGTCCCTTGTCTTATTACAAGTTTCACATGCTATCAGGTTCTTGCTGGATCCTATTTCTAATTTTTATCAGACTGAATGAAACATAAGGAGAGAGTGATTTATGGTCATCTGACATATCGCCTAATCACTCCAAGGAGTGTTCATACACATTTTGTGTTCACTTTATAAGGTGTGAATGACTATACATGATGGAATCCAAGTGACAAATAGAACTGTACTCTTCTGTTATGTGAGCTAGAACACAATGACTGGGGAGTCCTGTCAGTGCATGCTCTTACAAACACAAACCCACTCCAGTCTAAAAGTCAGCATTATCAGCAAACTGCTAAAAAAATAAGAACTCTGTCTTTAACAGGAATATACAGTTACTGGGATGTAGTTAAACTGCTATGAATACCTACTGAAGTTTAAATATGTGTTTTTATTGGTACATAAGAGCCCATTAGGACTGGAGTATTCATTATTTAAGCAGAATAACTGATGCTGTTAGCTTTAACTGAAAATGCCTTTTCTCAAAGAGCCAGGACATCTATACAGCAACTTTCTTAATTCAATGATATATGGTTGAGTGTTGCTGCTAGTGCCCTAAGATTTAAGAACTTATCATAAAATGCCCTTGAAATTGCTCCCTGGTAGCTTGCTCATCCTTCACAAAGCGCTGTGCAAAGAGCACACATGCATGTGTGTATGGTGTAAGAGAGGCACATGCACAGAGGGAGAAAGCTCTTCATCAACATGATAGCAAAGCCTTGATACATAGGTGCAAAAGATTCCCATGTGCCCAGAAATTATTTGGCACATTCCCAGTTATTTCCCCCGTCAGACCTTCTCGAGGATTGCAATTAAAAATCATAATCTTTTTTGCATGTAAAAACCTCCCCAAGGCTAGAAGCGCTATGTATTGAGTATGATTGTGATTATTTGGCAGCTATTCATAGACAACACATTAATTTATGGAAACGGGATGAAACTTAAGGAGTGCAATCATTAGGGACACATGAGAAATCGAAAGCTTTCCTCAATGATACTGACCTTTTTACTACTATGATTAGGGGCAACATGAATTCTATTGTCTCTTTCATCACCCCTCTTACAGTCTTTTTAGTCATTGTATACAACAATGTCATTAAACTTGCATTTTCAAAGGGATATAAAAATAACTTACTTTACAGGAATGTTTCTCAATTTTGTCTTTTCGGCAGCCTGTAAACACAAGAGGGGTGGGGAAAACAAATCATTAAGCAAGAGCCACACCAAAGCAAGCAAACATCAGCCATGGGAGCTCTTCACCAGCAACATCCCAGACTGTGGGACCATTCAGAGAGATAGTGCTGGGTCTGAAAGGCTCCTGTCCCAGTTTGTGATATCAGTGGGGTTTGTTTATTTTTAATGGCCACCAGTCTTTAGCAACTGCTCATTCAGGGCTGTTACTTCATTTCCCACTCTGAGGTCTGGCCCCTTCGTCACAAGCTATCTGTCCCTATCAGGAGCAAGAACAACAACAGGAAGAAATAGAGGGAAGAACAGATTCCATTTCCAAAACTGTTTTTATTCACCAGCAACAGAAAAGGGCAAGAGATGACCAAATGTTCAGATCAATTTCCTCTTGTGAAACCTTTGAGAAAACACACTCCAAATCATCTAAATGAGTAAATCTTTGGGCCCCTCGGCCTGCACCACCTCAGACATGGAGCCTGGTTCCAGTTTATTGCTGAACCCATTGATCTGTGTACAGTCCATTTATCATTCATGAAAAGAGCCAGTGATCTTCACAGTATATTAGAAGAAACAACTCAGATCATCTGTCAACGGCCCTCTTATTTCTGTTTCCCTCTCCACGGGGATTTCATCTCCTTCGATTCTTCTTGAATTAAAATGTTGCTAAGCAACACAGCTGGGGGCAGCGATGGCAGCGCCGCGCCAGTCTATCACACCGCTTAAGCCGCTCGAGATGTTAGCGGAGACTTCTCCCTTTAATGCTTCTCTGGCGTAATTATGTAATCTGAACCGACCTTGCATCCCACTCTTGTTTTGTTCAGAATAGGTAAATAATATTTTAAAGGAAGAGGGATGGAAATATAACTGGCAGAGAAAGCTAGTGTCGTATCATTTCGGAGAATTCCTCCTGGTGTTTGCAGAACAAGGCTGTAATAGATTTAAATGTGGAAAGTGGTCAGATGGTTGGTGAGATTACAAGCACAGAGAGTAGCGAGAGGCAGAATTAAGACAACTGATCCATAAACCCATTACAGAAAGGAAAGTTTTAGTGCCTAATTACCTCCAGAGGTATTTTAACAAAGCGTGCCGACATTTAGGAAAAGGGTTATGGTGAGGAACTTTAACCTCTGCTGTACTTAGAGATGGAAATAAAATGGTTCCTACATAGGAAGTGTGAATATTAGTGGTTCAGAAATATTCTCATGTAAGCCCTTGAAAAATTAAATCCTTTATGAAAAATTATGAACTTTTGAGGCCTCTGGGATCCGCACAACTGGGTTCCAAATTTTGCCAGAATGAATTTTCCCTTGAGATCTACAATGGGGCTAGTTTTTCAAAATACCTGCTGTTTTGGCACTTTTTCCTCCCATCATAGCAAAGGTAATATCTGCATTTAAATCCATGAAAATCCCTAATAATGATTTTAAAATTTGGGAGAAAGAATGAGAGCTTGTGAGAGCTTGGATGGTGCAACGGCAATCCTCTGGGCTGGCTCCCAACTTGCAAAGAAAAATGTGTTTGTTTCAGCTGGATTATATTTTCCATCTAAAGAATAAATCAACGAATGCATGATAGAAATCAATTACATTAATTGTACAGTAGGGGTGCTAAATAAAACACTTAAACCTCAGGAAATGCTCAACTTCAGATTGCACAAGTAATTGAGAAAAACCCAAGCCTAATTATGCCTTCTCAAACAAGCTTATGATGAAATGGGGTCCCTGCCTCAACAGTGAGATAATGTGATTGTGTCTCTTTCCAATAGTTCTCTGCAAATGCAGAGTCAGATGCATGCTATTAAGAAATTTTCTAAGTCATAAACTACACGTAACAACACAAAAATGCTTAATTTAAAATGAACTTAAACCCCATCAAAAATGGCATTTCAGTTTCCCAAACTTCCCACTAAAATCCAAGTTTCAGTGCCATCCTGCAGGAGACTAAAATTATTTTTAAAGCTCAAAAACATTCTTCCACAATGTCAGAATTTTATTTTAGACTGTAGAGTGGTATTTTCTTTGACTCTTCTATATACCAAATAGCTGGACCATAACAATTCTGAGTTCAAGCATGTGAAACTTGCATCTAAATCAAGGTTTTCCCCTGAATTATTCAAAAAATCACTACACAAAACCAGGTATCAAAATACAGATAAAGAAGAGGAAATAGCAGAGAGGAGAGTGTCTAGGATCACAAGTAAATAATGATAATGCAGATTTAATACAAAGTACAGCAGAATATATTCTGGAGAGCACATGCGCGATGGTGTGAGCTAAACTGTTTACATGAAAGATTAAAGAAGATGAAGATATTTCAGAGAGTGAGAACTGGCAATGTCAAAGTCACAGAATATTAAAGAGCAGAGTCTAAACTGCATGTTTCATTTTTGACCACTTAGCTATGTCTATCACAACCATTTACCCTGAAAGAAAGGTAGCAGTTTCAGGAAGAAAGAACTACAGATATATTTTGTTTTATTGGACTGTGAACCTTCTAGCACATATCTTTCCCTAGATTTTTACATGGAGAATTGCCACCTTTTTTTTTCCTTTGTTGCCAGAAAGTCACACTTTCCTAACTCTTAAGAAAAGGCAGATGCTGGAGGAACAGTGTCCTTCACACAAATGCTTGCTTATACAAAACTGAAAAACCATTACAAGTGCTTGGGTTAATCCACATGCCAGCCCAGTTTAATGTTGGAATCTCAGACAACTGGTCATTTCCTGTTACAAAGGATTCACTTTGAGTGGGATCACGGTGATGTCAAACACAGCACACAATACGCCAGGGATTCCATCTGAGAAAGAAATGCAGGATCTGTCCTTCTGTTTTTATTTGTCTTGTAGGTGTTGCTCATTCATTTTTCAAAGCGTATTTGTTGCGATATCATGAGCATGCCCAGTGGCAGAAGATAAAGGAAGGCAAAATCAAAGTGACATTGAGTAACTCTACACATTAGGCTTTGATGCAGAAACATATTGTTTGAAAATATTTGGTGTGCAGCAGGTCTGTCAATTAGAGCTAATTATTTTTCTCTGATCAGGAAGAATGCAATCTTGTTTTAGGCAGGTTTCTTTGAAATGCATGTCTTTTATATAACTTCATTATAGGAAAATACTCCTTCCAAATTACTTCTTTTCTCAACTGCTTAGCTATTGACTCAAATTGTCTGTGTTGAGTAGTTCTCTGCTTTGATAATTAACTTTTGATCATTACTGAATTTAGCAGCTCTAGTCAGATGTGTTCGTAGCCATCCTCCTCAACTATTTCAGTGTTCATCGCCTTTAATCTTTGAACAAAATGATCTCATTGAGCCTCCATCAGCCTTGCTACTCAGTTAATAATTCCTATTTCTCATCTTCACAACTGAGTTTGATTTGTTTTAGACTTGATGCAAGCTTTTGATTATTAATATTTAAGATATTTCAAAGACAAACACATTTTAAGAGTTATTTTTTTAATCTTATATTCCTAGGCCTTTACAAGTAAGAAGTTGGTTTTAACTTCACAATGACTCCTAAACTTCATGTATTAAAAGTATTATCTAGAAACAGAGCAGGTGGAAGGTCCCTAAACCCCCATATATGTGCCCTGAGTGACAGACGCTGCTGCCAAAGATTGAAATGAAATTGGACTGGTATAATGTAATATTCAATGGGTGTTAGGAGAATTACATCATGGGACCTTTGCTAATTTTGAGCTTGAAAACATGCATTAAAATAATTTAGGATGATTAGAAAATGGAAGTCAGAGTGAACCAGACAATCATTCCACTTTAATTTGTAATTTTCTTCTGATTTTTTTTTAACAATTATGGCCTCTGAATAATTGTGCTTCTGCTCCCTAAGACCTTATTTCAGCAGCTGACTCCAGTGCTGAATAAGAAGGAAAAAGATGAGGAATGTGTGAAAAGCAGTAAGACACAGAGGCTCATCCATCAGAGAGTTTTTGCCCAGGAATGTTTTACCCTGATTCTTGTAGCTGTGAATGACTCCTACCTCTACACCTGATTTTGGTGCTACTTGTTTTACCATTAGCTGAAGAGGCACCTGCACTGTGCTGTACTTGTTCTGTAGTGTGGTTTACCCATAAAATTTCTTTGTTAGAGGGTATTTTTTAATTATTACACAAAAGATTAAACATGGGCATAAGCACAAACTACTTCTAGATTATGAACAAGGACTGCAAAATGTGAAAATGATGCTTTTATTTATCACTATTGATTACCTGACTGGCTTTTGGATTGAATGAACCAGAAAAAGCATACCAGCCAGTAAACTTTTCCTGCATCACAAAGGAGAGATGAATGAACTGAAAGAGGACAGTTCAAAAATAACCAAGTAAAATAGTTGGCATCTGCAAAATGCAGATTATATTTTTGGTGAACTGTTACAGGTGAAGGTTCTGCTATCCAAAGAAGGTTCTGCTATCCATTGCATAACTGAAAACCCAGAATTTTCATTGAAAACTATTTGATTTTGAGAAAGTGAGATTAGACAAAAATTTTTTTCCAAGAATGCCCCCTCACCCTCTTCATTCAGAAGCACTGGTGAGCCAGGTAAGAAGGCAATTTCTGAGCCTCAAAGTATTTCTTAGGGTGAGACAGAGGAGACTTCACGCCATTGAATGTGTGGGCAGAAGAAGGCAGGCCTTCATGACCAAACTTTCCCCCTTTTTCCACGAGCAGCTGCAACTCTGACTCAGGTTTATTTCCCAGTTTCTAACCAGCTCTGCCTGCTTGGGTGAACAACCAAGTGACTACACAAATAAGTTTATAATCCACCACACTCTTCTCCTGTGCTGTAAGTATAGAAGAGACTTCCCAGAGACTTGATTCAACAGTACAGTAAAAACAAAGATACTTTCCACATTAGTTAAGTTTTATATATAGTTTATATCTCCTCCTAGGTTATAATTCGTTTTGGAAATTATGTCATGCTCTTATTTATACATAATGCCTTCTCTATGATCCTAAGTAACCAGCT